TCTCTCTCTCTCTCTTACACACACACACAACACACGAACGCGCGCGCGCACACATACACACGCACGCACACACGCGCGCACACATCACACGCGCGACACACACACACACACACACACACAGAGTAAATTAGTCTAAGTTCTCAATTCTGCGACAATAATGCATATTCTTTGAAATGTTCCATCTTTTTGCATGTTCATCCACGTTTTAATAGTATGTGATATCTTAATTTTCTATATGTATGTTTATTACTAAGGTAAATTCTTATCTTTATAGAATACAGCTTGTTCATATTTTTCTTTTAAAATCTTTATATATTGTTTTTTCAGAATTTGATCTTTTTCGATGTATACTTAATTGAATCTTTCTATATATTGGTTTTAGCGCTTGAAGGGACTTGTCCCAGAGCGCATAATAAATGCTTCTCTCTCTCTCTCTCTCTCTCTCTCTCTCTCTCTCTCTCTCTCTCTCTCTTTCTCGACAAATATCAAATATATACTTTTTCATTTTAAATTTTAAATTTAGATATTCTTTCTTATATTTGTTCAAATTTTAATTTAAAGGTTTTTACAGTTGAGGTAAAAAATTATTCGGCAACTTATAGAGAACAATTAACAAAACTCAATGTATATTTAATATTCTAAAAATATGCTTAAAATATGCTTATATAATATTATGCGTCTAGGATTTATTTATATTTGTATTTATTTATATTTATATTTATATTTGGATATTTTATTTATATTTGTTATTTATTTAATTTGTTACAAATTTCTTTCTATCCTTACAGAAATTAAATACTAATACTGGCCAAATAATCACTTATTTTTAATTAGTATTAAAAGATTTAATATTAAATGATTATCTATATATAATTACCTATATATAAATTGACTATAAATATTATATTTTTATAAGATTCTTTCTGGAGGGAAGATTTTTGAACTGATTTTTCGATTTTGCAGATATTCGGTAAAGGTGAAAAATGGTAAAACTGAACGCAGATGTTCATCCAAGTTTATCGGAGACTATAACGGAGAATTTGCGGCGGAGAAACATTGTCACAATCGTGGATTTTATCTCAACGAATCCAATTAAATTAACGAATATCACCGGTCTTTTGCACACAGTGCGTATCTCGTTAATAAAAGATAAAATAAAAACATTTTTGAAAATTATACCGAGAATAAGCTTCGTTTTTAGACATCAAGAATTGAAATAAAAATGGAAAAAATTAGGACATTTTTTTTATGTCTGTTTCTACCAATTAAATTAATTTGAATTTTGGTTTATCATATTATTCTTCATTTTTTCTTTCTTTTTGGAACTAGAAAAAGATGAAAAGTTAGTTGAACCGAGAATAAAATTAAATTACATTAATAAAAACGAGCATTAATGATTTTAAAAATATACATGACCCATTTGTAATTGCTTCAATTAATTCAATGATAATTGTAATGATAAGACATTTGATTTAAAAATTAGTATATTTCGATCGATATCCTGGCGGAAAAACTTTTATGAAGAACTACATAGATTGAGACGAGAAATTATTTTGCGTGATCTACAATGAGCAATAGACAATGAATTAAGAAATAAACATATAAATCGATCAATCAGTTGATTATCCTTCTTATATTCAACTGAGTGGTTGATTTTTACGCCTATTCCTTAATCTACTACTGGCCATTGTAAATCATGCATTAATGTTCTATAGATATTTGTAGTGGGATGTGGAGCGTCCTAATAATAATTGTTAATAGTAATTGTTTGTTTGAAAAGAAACTTAAAAATTTTCTACCTTCAAACAATACCTCTTTATGTCCCATTACGAATATCTACGAAAAATTAAGAATTTCTAAGATCTTATCTCAATCTATGTTTTCCTGTACTTTTTTATAAAAATTTTTTTCCGCCAAAATATTAATTTATTTAACTTTTATTCGAAAAAACTGAATGAAATA